CACGGCCCCCCCCCCCCCCCCCCCCCCCCCCCGGCGGTCAGTGATGGCCTCTTCTCTCCTCCACTCCAGCTGGAGGAACGTTCTTCGCGTCCTCACGTCTAACAGAGGTCTACGGAACCTGGTTTTTAGATGTGATGACGTCAGTGGTGCTTAGGCCACCAGAGCGACGGGGAGATGATGCGGAGACCAGTCTAGCGGCAAGAATCAGGTAAGTGAATCTGCTTTAAGCTGGCCCCCTGGACAAAAAGAAGCACTTAACCCTTGCAGTGCAGGGGTAGGTTTTTTGTTTGCCCGGACATTGGTTTTAAATAGAACTATATCTCCAACCAGAAATAGGGACAACTGAGGAGGAAAGATGGACAGATGCATTTGCTTCCGAAAGGAGGACAGTTCCAACAGATGAGACAGTTGGGAGCTATGCGATCAGTCATGATTGCCCTCTAGGGGAAGACCAGAGTTCCTCAATAATTGGTGCTTCAGTTTTGAGATTCCCCCAAACCTCAAAAATCCTGACACTAAGGTTTCCTAGCAACTACCATCTTTGAAAGCTCCAAGATTATCTAAAGAGCTCTAACAATCTACTCTAGCTTCTCGTAGCTCCTCGGAACTAGATTCTGAGGAGCTACAAGAAGCTAGAGTAGATTTTTAGAGCTTTATAGATCTTGGAGTCTTCAAAGATGGTAGTTGCCAGGAAATCTTGGTGCCAGAAGCTAGAGTAGATACAACCCCACCAGCATCCAACCCCAGAGTGACACGGATGTTGTTTTTAACGGGACTGTCCACCTAACACTAGAATTTGGATGCCAGTTACTCCGATTTACCACATCGCCGGCAAACTGTGCCCAAGAAATGTTCCATGTCTATTCCTCCCTTCCAGAAGAAGACCCAATTCAGCCCGGGTGGAGTTCGGAGATCTCCCAGTTGGTGTTTCTGAACACATAAGAACCCTTTGAGTGTCTGATGTCCCTCCAAGAGCCAAAACATCGGTTGAAGATGGACAACATCGCTAACTGGAGAGAAAAGCCGGCCGCAAAAACGAAGGTCACGGGCCAAGAAATTCAAAGCCGCCTTATTACTGACCCGACATGGCAATCGATGGTAAGATGGCCGCGTCGAGAGCCGCACGTGTTTAATCATTGGCTCCTCGGGATTTGGGGGCCAGGCCGTGGAGCCGGAGCTACCAGAAAG